AACATCAGTAGCACTGGTCCAAGGTTTCTAACATCAGTAGCACTGGTCCAAGGTTTCTAACATCAGTAGCAGTGGTTCAAGGTTTCTAACGTCAGAAGCACTGGTCCAAGGTTCCTAACATCAGTAGCACTGGTCCAAGGTTCCTAACATCAGTAGCACTGGTCCAAGGTTCTTAACATCAGTAGCACTAGTTCAAGGTTCGTAACATCAGTAGCACTGGTCCAAGGTTCCTAACATCAGTAGCACTGGTTCAAGGTTTCTAACATCAGTAGCACTGGTGCAAGGTTCCTAACATCAGTAGCACTGGTCCAAGGTTTCTAACATCAGTAGCACTGGTTCAAGGTTTCTAGCATCAGTAGCACTGGTTCAAGGTTCCTAACATCAGTAGCACTGGTCCAAGGTTTCTAACAGTAGCACTGGTCCAAGGTTCCTAACATCAGTAGCACTGGTCCAAGGTTTCTAACATCAGTAGCACTAGTCCAAGGTTCCTAACATCAGTAGCACTGGTCCAAGGTTTCTAACATCAGTAGCACTGGTCCAAGGTTTCTAACATCAGTAGCACTGGTCCAAGGTTTCTAACAGCAGTAGCACTGGTCCAAGGTTTCTAACATCAGTAGCACTGGTCCAAGGTTCCTAACATCAGTAGCACTGGTCCAAGGTTCCTAACATCAGTAGCACTGGTCCAAGGTTTCTAACAGCAGTAGCACTAGTCCAAGGCTTCTAACACCAGTAGCACTGGTTCAAGGTTTCTAACGTCAGTAGCACTGGTCCAAGGTTCCTAACATCAGTAGCACTGGTCCAAGGTTCCTAACATCAGTAGCACTGGTCCAAGGTTTCTAACATCAGTAGCACTGGCCAAAGGTTTCTAACATCAGTAGCACTGGTTCAAGGTTTCTAACATCAGTAGCACAGGTTCAAGGTTTCTAACATCAGTAGCACTGGTTCAAGGTTTCTAACATCAGTAGCACTGGTCCAAGGTTATTAACATCAGTAGCACTGGTCCAAGGATCCTAACATCAGTAGCACTGGTTCAAGGTTTCTAATATCAATAGCAATGGTCCAAGGTTTCTAACATCAGTAGCACTGGTCCAAGGTTCCTAACATCAGTAGCACTGGTTCAAGGTTTCTAACATCAGTAGCACTTGTTCAAGGTTTCTAACATCAGTAGCACTGGTTCAAGGTTTCTAACATCAGTAGCACTGGTTCAAGGTTTCTAACATCAGTAGCACAGGTCCAAGGTTTCTAACATCAGTATCACTTGTCCAAGGTTCCTAACATCAGTAGCACTGGTCCAAGGTTCCTAACATCAGTAGCACTGGTCCAAGGTTTCTAACATCAGTAGCACTGGTCAAAGGTTTCTAACATCAGTAGCACTGGTTCAAGGTTTCTAACATCAGTAGCACAGGTTCAAGGTTTCTAACATCAGTAGCACTGGTCCAAGGTTCCTAACATCAGTAGCACTGGTTCAGGGTTTCTAACATTAGTAGCACTGGTTCAAGGTTTCTAACATCAGTACCACTAGTTCAAGGTTTCTAACATCAGTAGCATTGGTTCAAGGTTTCTAATATCAGTAGAACTAGTTCAAGGTTTCTAACATCAGTAGCACTGGTTCAAGGTTTCTAACATCAGTAGCACTGGTTCAAGGTTTCTAACATCAGTAGCACTGGTCCAAGGTTCCTAACATCAGTAGCACTGGTCCAAGGTTCCTAACATCAGTAGCACTGGTTCAAGGTTTCTAATATCAGTAGCACTGGTCCAAGGTTTCTAACATCAGTAGCACTTGTTCAAGGTTTCTAACATCAGTAGCACTGGTTCAAGGTCTAACATCAGTAGCACTTGTTCAAGGTTTCTAACATCAGTAGCACTGGTTCAAGGTCTAACATCAGTAGCACTGGTTCAAGGTTTCTAACATCAGTAGCACTGGTTCAAGGTTTCTAACATCAGTAGCACTGGTTCAAGGTTTCTAACATCAGTAGCACTGGTTCAAGGTTTCTAACATTAGTAGCACTGGTTCAAGGTTTCTAACATCAGTAGCACTGGTTCAAGGTTTCTAACGTCAGTAGCACTGGTTCAAGGTTTCTAACATCAGTAGCACTGGTTCAAGGTTTCTAACATCAGTAGCACAGGTTCAAAGTTTCTAACATCAGTAGCACTGGTTCAAGGTTTCTAACATCAGTAGCACTGGTTCAAGGTTTCTAACATCAGTAGCACTGGTTCAAGGTTTCTAACATCAGTAGCACTGGTTCAAGGTTTCTAACATCAGTAGCACTGGTTCAAGGTCTAACATCAGTAGCACTGGTTCAAGGTCTAACATCAGTAGCACTGGTTCAAGGTCTAACATCAGTAGCACTGGTTCAAGGTTTCTAACATCAGTAGCACTGGTTCAAGGTTTCTAACGTCAGTAGCACTGGTTCAAGGTTTCTAACATCAGTAGCACTGGTTCAAGGTTTCTAACATCAGTAGCACTGGTTCAAGGTTTCTAACATCTGTAGCACTGGTTCAAGGTTTCTAACATCAGTAGCACTGGTTCAAGGTTCCTAACATCAGTAGCACTGGTCCAAGGTTTCTAACATCAGTAGCACTGGTCCAAGGTTCCTAACATCAGCAGCACTGGTCCAAGGTTTCTAACATCAGTAGCACTGGTTCAAGGTTTCTAACATCAGTAGCACTGGTCCAAGGTTTCTAACATCAGTAGCACTGGTCCAAGGTTTCTAACATCAGTAGCACTGGTCCAAGGTTTCTAACATCAGTAGCACTGGTCCAAGGTTCCTAACATCAGTAGCACTGGTCCAAGGTTTCTAACATCAGTAGCACTGGTCCAAGGTTCCTAACATCAGCAGCACTGGTCCAAGGTTTCTAACATCAGTAGCACTGGTCCAAGGTTTCTAACATCAGTAGCACTGGTCCAAGGTTTCTAACATCAGAGTTTGCACAATATATTAATTAATATATTGATAGAATATATTAATAGTAATAATAATAATAATAATAATAATAATAATAATAATAATAATAATAATAATAATAATAATAATAATAATAATAATAATAATAATAATAATAATTCAATCAGCGTGATATAATGTACAAACTAGAATGTGAAGAATGATGTTAGAACACCTCAGGTCTCCAAGACATGTTCACTCTGAAGATTCTCCACATCCCTCCACATACCCCCTCCATCCCTCCACATACCCCCTCCATCCCTCCACATACCCCCTCCATCCCTCCACATACCCCCTCCATCCCTCCACATACCCCTCCATCCCTCCACATACCCCCTCCATCCCTCCACATACCCCCTCCATCCACAACTCACCCATACCCCCTCCATCCCTCCACATACCCCCTCATCCCTCCACATTACCCCCTCCATCCCTCCACATACCCCCTCCATCCCTCCACATACCCCCTCCATCCTCCACATACCCCCTCCATCCCTCCACATACCCCCTCCTCCCTCCACATACCCCTCCATCCCTCCACATACCCCCTCATCCTCCACATACCCCTCCATCCCTCCACATACCCCCTCCATTCCTCCACATACCCCTCCATCCCTCCACATACCCCCTCCATTCCTCCACATACCCCCTCCATCCCTCCACATATCCCCTCCATTCCTCCACATAACCCCTCCATGCCTCCACATACCCTCTCCAAACTTCCACATACCCACTCCATCCCTCCACATACCCCCTCCATCCCTCCACATACCCCCTCCATCCCTCCACATACCCCCTCCATTCCATCACATACCCCTCCATCCCTCCACATACCCCCACCATCCCTCCACATACCCCCTCCATATCTCCACATACCCCCTCCATCCCTCCACATACCCCTCCATCCCTCCACATACCCCATCCATCCCTCCGCATACCCCCTCCATCCCTCCTCCACTTTCCTCCTTATACCCTTCATTCCTCCACTTCCTCGTCATTCCTCCACATGCTCCCTCCATCCCTCCTATGCCCTCCTCGTTCTTTCACATGCCCCCTCCACTTCCACCTTAACCTCCCCCTCCCCCTCCCCCTAGGAGAAAACGGTTTGTGGGGGACGGGGACGGGGGCAGGGAGACTGGGGGACAGGTGGGCGGGGAGGGGGCATCGAATGCGTAACATCGCCGCCGGAACCACCGCGAGTAAAATCTCGCGAGTATCAACCCGCGTAAAGCGTGCGTGAGGAGGATAACTTGGAGAGAGTATTGCGGTGTAGAGGGTTGGGGAGATGAGGGAGAGAGAGCCGGAAGGAGGGAGGACAATGTGAGAGGGAGAGTTGGAAGATATTGGGAGATATGGATGGGAGAGAGAGAAAGAGGAAAGATGTAGGAGGGGAGTAAGAAGGGAAGGTGTTGGAGGGAAAGATGGTTGGAGGGAGGAAGGAGGGTAAGTGAGGGAGGGTATAAGCAGGTAGGAGTGTATTAGGGTGTGAGCAAGGGGGAAAGAAGGAGGTGAGGGTTGGAAGGAAATAGGGGGGAGGCTGGAAGAAGAGAAGGTGGGGAGGGAGGGAAGGTGGGGGAAGTAAGGTGGGGAGGGAAGTATGGTGGGGAGGAAGGGAAGGTGGGGGAGGGGTTTGGGGAGGAGAGAGAGAGAGGGTATGGAAGTTTGGTGATGCGAAGGAGGGAGGGAGTGAGGGAGGGAGGGAGGGTTAAGAGTGAGGGTGGGTAATGTTTGGGGGAGGGGCCTGCAAGGCGGGGGTGGGTATGATGGGAGGAACTACCAGATGCCCACTCTCACCCTCAACACATTTACTCCCATTGCTCAAGCCCCAACTTTAAGCCAAGCCAGCTTCCACTATCCGTCCAACAACCCAGCGAAGTGGATGTGCAATACTCAACCATCTTCAACTCCCCCAAGTGGATGTTAGCGGTGGAATGGAGGGTTGGATGTGGAGGCGGCGGCGGTGGAGGGGGAGGAGTTGGGGAGGTGGGGTATGGAGGGAGGGCTGTGGTTGGCTGAGCAAGCCGGTGTGTGTAGAGAGGGCCAAGCCTCCCCTGTGGTGCGGTGATACACACAGTATTAGAGAGCAGGTGGGTAGGTACGCTACATGCCCAGCCGAGTGAGACCCCATACCCACTTTTGCGACCGGGAGATAGAGCTCGATAAACCCCAGGCGCGAGGGAAGCAAGAAGAGAGAAGGATACATGTATATCCATGATCGAAACGAGGTAATTGAGAGAAACGAGAGGGGAGAAAGGGAACACGTGAGGATGAATTAAGTGTTTGGTGATGCTGGAAACGCAGAGATAATTGCTTGGAAAATTGCTTACGTTCTTTAAAAGGAAATTTGGTGCTGTGATTGTACAATCATCCTCTCTACACCCCCACTACACCCCCACTCTGGTGCCGTAGTGTAATACTATCACCAACACCCCTTCCATCCCCTTCCATCACTGCTAAATTATAGCCACTCATTTATGTGAAAGCAGCGTCACTAGTGTTCGTGAAAGCAGCGTCTGTAGCGTTTGTGTATGCAGCATCAGTAGTGCATGTGAATGCAGCATCACTAGCGTTTGTGAAGGCAGCTTCACTTGCATTTGTGAAGGCAGCATCAATAGTGTTAGAACAGACAGCATCGCCTTCAAGAAGCCAGTGTCACAAGCGTGTAACAACAGCGTCACTAGTGTGTGTGTGTGTGTGTGTGTGTGTGTGTGTGTGTGTGTGTGTGTGTGTGTGTGTGTGTGTGTGTGTGTGTGTGTGTGAAAGCAGTGTGTCACACGGGCTTGTGAATGCAGTATCACACGTGTGTCTGTGAAGGAAGCGCCTCTAGCGTGATCCAGTCAGCATCACCAGCGTGCTAACCATAACAAACATCGCTACTCTGTCCTCTAGCTGGGTTTCAAGGTCACCAGGTCTCGTACAATACGCGAACATCACCACATCTGACGGAAGGCAGAAAAGAAAGGGCCTATTCCTCTCCTGGTGACAAGGACGAAAAGAGTGAAATACAGAATAGATTTATACCTCTTCTGGGCGAGAGTAAGCCATTGAAGTGAAACGTTAGACTGGATCAAGGAGGTGGACAGTGCTGGGAGCAACAGGTGGACAAGAAGGCTATAAGGGGAGTAGTACGGCTCAGGAGTTTCTCACAAGAAGAGCAGCAGCAGCAGCCAGACCAGTCATCGGTAGCAACGCTCATAACCAACTAAACGTCGACCACCTCCAATCACGACGAGTTCTATCTCCCTCTCTCTCCTTCCCTCTCTCTCTCTCTCTCTCTCTCTCTTCTCTCTCTATCTTCCTCTCTTTCTTCCTCTCCTATACCCGGCTCTCACTCTCATCTCCTGCGCATCATATTGACGTAAGCACTGGTCGTGTGGGAGAGTCAGAGAGAGAGTGAGAGAGGGAGAGTGAGAGAGAGAGGGGGGACAAGAAGTCAGACATGTGTAGTAGTGTTGAAGTTGTGAGGCTGGATCACATATAGCGGTCATACGGCCACGGACAGGGGCAGAGGTGGGACGGTTGCAGAAGCTGCTGGTTTCAGCTTCAGAAGCTGCTGGTTTCGGCTTCAGAAGCTGCTGGTCTCGGCTTCAGAAGCTGCTGGTCTCGGCTTCAGAAGCTGCTGGTTTCGGCTTCTCAAGCTGCTGGAGTCAGCTTTCAGCAACTGGAAGGAGAGGAAATAATAAAAAAGAGCGAGCCTGTGGACATAGTGTGTAGGATAACTCTTGTTGACTTGTCAAAGATTGTGTGTGGTGTACAGTGCAGTTGCCTCCCACGTGTGTCACCAACTGTCAAGACTTTCTAGCATCCAGAAGGTTCTTCCAGCATCCAGGAGACTCTTCCAGCGTCCAAGAAGATCTTCCAGCAACCAGGAGGCTCTTTCAGCGTCCAGGAGGATCTTCCAGCAACCAGGAGGCTGTTTCAGCGTCCAGGAAGATCTTCCAGCATCCAGGAGGCTCTTCCAGCGTCCAGGAAGATCGTCCGGCAACCAAGAGGCTCTTCCAGCGTCCAGGAGGATCTTCTAGCGCACCCCCCAAGCAAACTTTCCAGTGGCTCCCCAGACTCCCACACCGTGTCAACTCCTGCAAGGTTGGAGTGTCACACAGGGTGGGCTGGAGCCCCAGAGTGCCTCCCTCACCAGAGCCACGGGGTTTCTCAGTGCCTTTCTCTCCTTCAACCATCGTTTACCACTAGGTCATACGTCAGGAGCTACCATACCCTTGCCAGGGTGAGTACCAACCACACACACACACACACACACACACACACACACACACACACACACACACACACACACACACACATACGAGCCTCCAGTATAGCTCTGTCCTTGTAACTTCAAACACTGAAGACGGGACATCACCAGCTTAGTTTTGCTGCAATAGCTACTGCTAGAACACTAGTGTGCGAACAAAAGGTATATCACTGTGAGAACACACGCATACACACTCTGCTCTCGCATAATACATTACAGCAGTACTCATACCATATCTAACATTGTTGCTAATTGTATTATATCTACCTATTAGCTAGAGATATCTTCCTGATCAACTAGTATTACCTGCTCTTAAATATCCTGCAGACACATAATTATCATACGTAAGAAATAAGCCTCCTGGTATTTTAAATAGGTATTGCTTGGATAAATAACGTAAGGATAATTCACAAAAATATATCAGTAAATAAAGGTAAGAAATGATAGCCAAAAAATAATTAAAGATTTAAGATATTTACTTATACTTAACTCTCACTAGCCCTAACTGGAAGTTATTATATTCGTGAAGGCTGTCCTGTCACTGGTCTTATTTAATCTTTCGACGACCCGTTTTCTAATTGACTGGAAGTTCTCTTTTAGTTTCTTAGACAGGCTCAGCTTCCGATGGTGGAAGTCGGTCCTACCAGAGGTACACGTGGTCCTACCAGAGGTACACGTGGTCCCACCAGAGGTACACGTGGTCCTACCAGAGGTACACGTGGTTTCTTACAGGTTGCGATTCCAAACAAACTCCAGGGAGGCAAGGCAATTAGCATTTCCGACGAATCTACACTCTCCCGTCGGCTGCCAAAACACACTAAGATTAACACTTATGGACGCAACTGTACAGACGTCCAGGGAGACGAAAGTCTGCTGACAGACAGATGACAGACCAGAGGTTATACATCACATGATAAACACCACATACAGTAGCTGTCTTCCTGTAACTAAAAACAGATAATCATATATATCATATGTATTGCTGTAACCTCAAATATCTTACAGAGTAATCGTCGTGTGATTCACTTCACTTATTGTTTAACCGACGCATTATTTCTCTGGCTGTATCTCCAGAGTTTATAAACAGAGTTTATAAACAGTTCAGTATTAGTTTACGTGGAGTATCTTCAGGGGGATCACCGCTCCTGCGACCTTGTCTCAGACGAGGTCTGATGGCACAGTCTTGAGGTTTATTTTCAAAACATCTGATGTGGCCGCAATGTGTCTAGTTCTTAAACCCATCTTCTTCATGATGGGTATGTAGTGACTACCTCACACAGGATGGGTATGTGTTAACTACCTCACACAGGATGGTAGTGTTACTGCTCTTGTGTTAACTGCCTCACACAGGATGGGTATGTGTTAACTACCTCACACAGGATGGTTATGTGTTAACTACCTCACACAGGATGGGTATGTAGTGACTACCTCACACAGGATGGGTATGTAGTGACTACCTCACACAGGATGGGTATGTGTTAACTACCTCACACAGGATGGGTATGTGCTAACTACCTCACACAGGATGGGTATGTAGTGACTACCTCACACAGGATGGGTATGTGTTAACTACCTCACACAGGATGGGTATGTAGTGACTACCTCACACAGGATGGGTATGTGTTAACTACCTCACACAGGATGGGTATGTAGTGACTACCTCACACAGGATGGGTATGTGTTAACTACCTCACACAGGATGGGTATGTAGTGGCTACCTGACACAGGATGGGTATATAGTGGCTACCTCACACAGGATGGGTATGTAGTGGCTACCTGACACAGGATGGGTATATAGTGGCTACCTCACACAGGATGGGTATATGGTACATAATATTACAATCAATCACACACACACACACACACACACACACACACACACACACACACACACACACACACACACACACACACACACACACACACACACACACACAAACACAAACACACACACACACACACACACAGTCTTCTGGCATGTGGCCACTGTGTTTCACTGCGCATGCCAAGTACCTATGCCAGATTATCACTGTCTGTAAGCAACGTGGTCACTGCTGAGTCATCTAGTGACCCCGTGTCATCCAGCAGGCAACGTGGTCACTGCTGAACCAGTAACACCAACTGGTATTAGTGGTATCACTTGTGCTAGTGGTGTTACTGGTGTTAGTGGTGTCACTGGTGTTAGGGGTGTCACTGGTGTTAATGGTGTCATTGGTGTTAATGATGTCAATGGTGTTTTTGGTGTTAGTGATGTCACTGGAGTTAGTGGTGTCACTGGTGTCAGTGGTGTCACTGGTGTTAGAGGTGCCACTGGTGTTAGTGGTGTCACTAATATTAGTGGTGTCACTAGTGTTAGTGGTGTCACTAGTGTTAGTGGTGTCACTGGTGTAAGTGGTGTCACTGGTGTTAGTGATGTTACTGGTGTCAGGGGTGTCACTGGTGTTAGTTGTGTTATGGGTGTTAGCGTTGTCTCTGGTGTTAGTGGTGTTACTGGTGTTAGTATTGTCACTGGTGTTAGTGGTGTCACTGGTGGTACTGGTGTCACTGGTGTTAGTAGTGTCAATGGTGTTAATTGTGTTACGGGTGTTAGTGGTGTCGCTGGTGTTAGTGGTGACACTGATGTTAGTGGTGTTACGGGTGTTAGGGGTGCCACTGGTGTTAGTGGTGTCACTGATGTTATTGGCGTCACTGTGTTAGTGGTGTCACTGGTGTTAGTGTCACTGGTATTAATGGTGTCACTGGTGTTAGTGTCACTGGTGTTAGTGTCACTGGTATTAATGGTGTCACTGGTGTTAGTGGTGTCACTGGTGTCGCTGGTGTTAGTGGTGCCACTGGTTTTAGTGTCACTGGTGTTAGTGGTGTCGCTCATGTCTCTGGTGTTAGTGGTATTGCTGGTGTTAATTGTGCCATTGGTGTTAATAGTGTCACTGGATTTAGTGGTGTTACTGGGGTTAGTGGTGTCACTGGTGCTAGTGGTGTCACTGGTGCTAGTGGTGTCACTGGTGTTACATGTATGACTGGTGTTAGTGGGGACACTGATGTTAGCGGTGTCACTCGTGTTAGTAGTGCAACTAGCGTTATTGATGTCACTGGTGTTATTGGTGTGTGTCACAAGTGTTAGTGGTATCACTGGTATTAGTGGTGTCGCTGATGGTAGTGGTGTTATTGATGCTAGTCTTGTCACTGGTGTTAGTGATGTCACTGATGTTAGTGGTGTCACTGGTGTTAGTGATGTTACTTATATTAGTAGTGTCACTGGTGTTAGTGGTGTCACTGGCGTTAGTGTCATTGGTGTTAATGGTGTCGCTGGTGTTAGTTTTGTCGCTGGTGTTAGTGGTGTCACTAGTATTAGTGGGGTCAATTTTGTTAGTCGTGTCATTGGTGTTAGTGCAACTGGTGTTAGTGATGTGATCGGTGTTAGAGGTGTCACTGGTGTAAGTGGTATTACTTGTGTTAGTGACGTCACTGGTGTTAGTGGTGTCAGTGGTGTTAGGGGTGTCCCTGGCGTCCCTGGTGTCCCTGGTGTCCCTGGTGTTAGTGGTGCTACTGGTGTTAGTGATGTTACTGATGTTAGTGACGTAACTGGGGCTAGTGGTGTTTCTGGTGTTAATGGTGTTACTGGTGCTAGTGGTGTCCCTGGTGGTAGTGATATTACACGTGTCACTGGTGTTAGTGGTGTCATTGGTGTTAGTGATATCATTGGTGTCACTGGCGTTAGTTGTGTCACTGGTGGTGTTAGTGGTGCCACTGGTGCTAGTGTTGTCACTGGTATTAGCGGTGCTACTGGTGTTAGTGGTGTCGAGGGTGTTATTGGTGTCATTGGTGCTAGTGCTGTTACTTGTGGTAGTGATGTCACTGGTGTTAGTGATGTCAATGGTGTTGGTGTCACTGGTGTTGGTGTTAGTGGTGTCACTGGTGTTGGTGTTAGTGGTGTCACTGATGTTGGTGTTAGTGGTGTCGCTGGTGTTTGCGTGAGTGGTGTCACTGGTGTTTGTGTTAGTGGTGTCACTGGTGTTGGTGTTACTGGTGTTGGTGTTATTGGTGTCACTGGTGTTGGTGTTAGTGGTGTCACTGGTGTTGGTGTTAGTGGTGTTACTGGTGTAGGTGTTAGTGGTGTCACTGGTGTTGGTGTTAGTGGTGTCACTGGTGTTGGTGTTAGTGGTGTCACTGGTGTTGGTGTTAGTGGTGTCACTGGTGTTGATGTTAGTAGTGTCGCTGGTGTTGGTGTTAGTGGTGTCACTGGTGTTGGTGTTAGTGGTGTCACTGGTGTTGGTGTTAGTGGTGTCACTGGTGTTGGTGTTAGTGGTGCCACTGGTGTTGGTGTTAGTGGTGTCACTGGTGTTGATGTTAGTACTGTCGCTGGTGTTGGTGTTAGTGGTGTCACTGGTGTTGGTGTTAGTGGTGTCATTGGTTTTGGTGTCAGTGGTGTCACTGGTGTTGGTGTTAGTGGTGTCATTGGTGTTGGTGTTAATGGTGTCACTGGTGTTGGTGTTAGTGGTGTCACTGGTGTTGGTGTCACTGGTGTTGGTGTTAGTGGTGTCACTGGTGTTGGTGTTAGTGGTGTCACTGGTGTTTGTGTTAGTGGTGTCACTGGTGTTTGTGTTAGTGGTGTCACTGGTGTTGGTGTTAGTGGTGTCATTGGTGTTGGTGTTAGTGGTGTCACTGGTGTTTGTGTTAGTGGTGTCACTGGCGTTGGTGTTAGTAGTGTCACTGGTGTTGGTGTTAGTGGTGTCACTGGTGTTGGTGTTAGTGGTGTCACTGGTGTTGGTGTTAGTAGTGTCACTGGTATTTGTGTTAGTGGTGTCACTGGTGTTTGTGTTAGTGGTGTCACTGATGTTGGTGTTAGTGGTGTCACCGGTGTTGGTGTTAGTGGTGTCGCTGATGTTGGTGTTAGTGGTGTCACTGGTGTTGGTGTTAGTGGTGTCACTAGTGTTGGTGTTAGTGGTGTCACTGGTGTTGGTGTTAGTGGTGTC